GCTGCTCTGTTGATTGGCACACAGGCCATGGGGACATATGGCTAAGACTCTGTGTAAACATATTGGATAGCTGCAGATGATTGGTGTTATCCTGATGGAAGAAAGGTTGATACACAGAAATATAGGGAAGGTTGTACCTGTTGCAAAATGAGCACTTTTCTGCATTAATCTGTGTAAAGTAGAACCAAACTTGTGTGTCTTCATGTTCTTCTGCCTCTCCCCCTTCCCAGTTACATGCATTTCCACTGCTCAAGTCCTTGTGCTCCTGGGGGATTTTCTAGCTCTTTTGCATAGGTGCAATAACAGGAGCATTTCGTTCCTCCTTTTCCTTTGCACTTCCTCTCAGAGGCTCGGCATTGCCCTGCAATTTCCTGTCCCCACCAATCAGCATCTGATATTCCTGCCCATATTCGTCTTTGTGGGAGGTTCTTCCATCTCTTTTTCTCTCCCCAGCTGCTCACATTCAGCCTGGGAAGTCCTGCCCTCTTTCCTGCTCTCTTTGCCCTACAACAGTTTTTATTTTCTTGACACCTCTACTAATACACTCCAGTTTTGATGGAAAGATTCATCTTGAGAGGGACATCACTGATGGACTCTTCTGGCTATAGTGGATTGGAAAAAATCTAGCTAACATAGCACTCCTATGTTTACACGCATACATATTTGGGCACCAAACTTTAGGAAGGTTTGGTTATTTTTGATCCTGATTCTATCTTCTCATGAAAAGTCTGTTTAGAGAAATAATATTTGGAGTTGCCTTAAAAATTGGCTTCTTAGATGGAGAGTATAACTGGACATAAGTAATGTCTTACAATTAAATTGCCATTTTATTTTAAAAACTTTCAAAGTAAAATTTAAAATACACTTTTAAGCTCATGTTCACTTCTCCCTCTCTACTTGTGTCTCATACAGACAAAGTCCTGCAATCTGTTACTCAAGCTCAATATTGGGTTCAGTGAAAGAAAGATAATAGTGACGTCGAAGTACTTTTCTTTAGCTTTGAGATAACACAGGATTTTTTTTTCCATGATCTTTCTAATTTTCAAGTAAAATCCAGATATTCCTCCAAAAATGAAGAGATGTTCTCAGAAATTGGAGTGCTTATTTGTGAGCTCATATAAAATCTTTTCTTCTCTTTCCTTTTCCCATTTGGCCTCTTTCCTACAAGCAGAAAGTAGTTCTTCAAGGGAAACAAGCAACCCCTCCCCACACACCTTTTTAGTCTGAAACCAACACTTAATATGTGAGGATTTCTTCCTTCTCTGTTGAATTCACTACTCCTGTCACAGCAAATTCTGCAAACCAGAATGGTGAATACGAACTAGTGATTCAGGACATTTGATTTATGGCCAAGTGAAAAAAAATGCCTTTTCCACTAGACCCACTCTGTAGCACTTTTGTTATAGAGGATAATTCAGTATACAGAGTTCATGACACTGGGTTCTCCTCACTCATGAAATCCTGACATTGCTACGAAGAGAGGAAGATACCTCTTAGAAGGTGAATGGAGAAGAGCATGAGAAACCGGCTGAGACTGTGTGGGATTAGACTTGGCAATGGATAGGTTGTTTTGTTTTTCTAGTTGGCTCAAGCTGCGATGCATGAAGAGTTGCCTTTTGGATCTGGTACTGGGAGAAGAGGAGGTGAGCTGGCTGGTAGGTGGGGGAGTGGGAAGACTGGTGGTGGTGAGGGTCAGGTGCTGTTGAATGGGAAGTTGCCCTTCCCTTCCCTTGTTTGCCTCTGCTGGAAATGACTGCAGTGTTTCATAGAAAGTAAGTAAACTATGCAGCCTTATTTTGGGAGGAGTCCTGTGTAGTAACAGGGATATGGTAGCTGAGACTTTCCTGGCCTGCTGCAATTGCTGTGAAAAGCCTCTCCTTTGCCAAATCTTCTCCTGAACTGGTTAATGAGTGTTGTACAGCTGAGTTCTGTCATGGCAAGCAACCAAGGTGTGCATCCATGTTACCATGTTACCGGTTTAGTTCAGGTCAGGACTGCTTTCCTTGCTCACCAATGAGCTTTTACCTGTGGGACCAAACTAGAGCTGGTTTGAAACAAACCCACTCAAAATGCATATGTGGATTTTGCATCCATGCATGAGCTGTTTCACCCTACAGATCCACTTAAATTGTGCCACATTATTTGCAAACATTGATACAGCCTCAGCGGCCAAGTGTGTACCTCATTGACTCAAGAGTTGCCTGCCAGACTGAAGACAAATATTGCTTGCAACAGTATAATTGTTTTGAGCAATGGCACCGATTGTGGTGACACTTTATAATTATGCCTATGTCTTATTTTTGCCCTTTGCTAGACAAAGCCCCAGAGTGTTGTGCCCCATCTAATGCTGGTGCTGTGTTGTAAACCTGTCTCCGAGGCCCCCTGTCCCTCAGATACATCAGGAATTAGCCAGAGCAGCATGTTGTCCTGAGGATGACAACCCAAAGAGGAAGCCTGTTCACTACAAATCTGCTCAGGCAAGCCCAAGTTCAAGGTGCAGTAAGTGGTGCTGTTAGAGCCTGCATTGAGACCCTGCCACACTGGCCGGGCAGCGCTCCCTGAAGCTCTCTGGAAACGTGCAGAGCCTGAAACATAGCTCAGTAGTCACTGGGTCATGCTGCATTAAGGGCGATTTGTTCCTCATAACAGGGTAACCTGAGAGTGTCATTCTATGTACTTCAAAAAAATCCTACTGTTCTGCCGTAGAGCAGATGGCTCCTGTAAAACTTGCATCATTAATTACTTTAAAGCTATCTCTCTAGAGCCTGGCACAGCAGAATGAATCTATATATTATGGAGATATGTCAGACATGGCAAACTGACTCAATAGAAATAACATTGCATGCTTTCACCTACAGTCCTCCCTGGAGTGAATACGGAAAGAGGTCGCCTAACCTCACGCAGCCGGTAAGACCACGGTTAGAGTGTGGGAGGCATTTTTTAACGAGACATTAGATACACTGTTTTCCTGGAGTGTTGTTTCACCAAAACCTGTTACTTTCAGTATCCAAAACTTAACTTCCTTTTCGTTCAGCTGCGGAGGGGAGGCCCTGTCCTGCTTTCCCGAGTTATTTTTGTGGAGTGTCCTCCCTCTGTGTAATTTGGTTAGTCGCATGATGAAAGCTAATTTAACAGTCAGTCTGTTACAGGTGAGTGGGGAGAGATAAGTGGCTGAGGGCAGGCTCAGGACACTTGAAACACTGGCACTCAGACGAAGGGAACGACTTTTCCGTGTTTGATTAGGCCATGCCAGTCTCCAATGGCTACTTCTACGAGGAGTCTTCACTATCTGTTGTGGGGTGGTGAGATGTGTTGTCATGACTTCCACATGCCAAAGGCAACCTTACTATCATCTTCAGCTATCTTTTTCTTTCATTTAGGGGTCAGTGATGACTTACTTTC